AAAAGCTTGAAAGACACCCTGTTGAGCAATGCTTTACTGCCTGCTGAAACCAGGGAAAGAAGGCAGCCAGCCTTGTTCTACCTGGAAGTAAATTGGGTGATGCTACTGAAAAGGCCTTGTCTTACTACGCATCGCCCCAACCTTCATAGTTGTTGGAGACACAACTGAGCTTCTCCTGGAGAGCCACATTTGGCTGGAGAGTCAGCCCATAGGAGTGATATCCAACTGTTAATAGTATTTCTACATTTTACAACAGAAGTTGTAAACAATGTTCCTGTGTTATCAGATGGATTGCTTTCACACTAATCAGTGTCTCACCTACCACACCATAACTGTTTCTGACGCTGGTACAAATAAAGCTGGAAAGACACAGTTGGGTGGGCAGAGCTGGATGGATCTCTCTCCTTTGCTTATCTTTTGACTCATTCAGAAGTCAACGTCTCTTCTTGGCGGGGAAGTAAAGGAAGGGAAAACCCTGATTGAAACTCTCTTATTATTTCCCCTGACAAGAAAGAAGTTAAGGCTAGGAAAGGCTACTGGATGATTAGGTCTTATTGATGCTGAGGAATCGCTTAGCTAAAATCTGACAGACTAAGAGAAGCAGGGTTTAGGAAAGGGGCTGGGGTGCAAAAGGAAGTGTCCCAGGGATGGTCAGCCTTCTCAGGTAGACCAGACAGGAAACAAATGAGCTAATTCTACTTTACTATATGGTTAGTTACAGTACAAGAATTTTGCAAGTCTGAAAGTACAAATCTCCCGCTCTCTCCTTTGAGCCCTAGAAGGTAGGGAGCGTCCCTTCTGAGCCTCTTGCTCCACCCACTGTCCAACTCCAGGCTATACCCTCTTCTATCTGACCATTCCCAACATAGCATCTCTTCACCCATCTCCCAAGGTCTGTCCCACATACCATTACAAGGATAAGTGGCCAAGATGCAGGAATTTGAATAAGAAAAAATATTCAAAGATTGGAAGACAAGATCCCCAATTTGTCAGAATCAGCTGCTGTGTACTGCAGGGCCAAGGCAGGATACAAATCTATTTTTAAACTGCAGTCCCAACACATCTAGAGTAGAGCAGAGTAGTAGCTTGGGGAATGCTGTGTAATAGAAAGAGTAACAGTAATAAAGAGAATCTGAAGATATTTCTTTCCACTTGCCTTGGGTGAAATTGAACATTCCTGA